TCATATTGACAACCATGAGAACACTTAAGATAGTTACATTCATACATATATATCTTTTTACAAGCCTTTCAGGAAAAATTATGACCAGGTCTCTTCGAACGAGAAGGAGCGATGTCAATAACATATTTGACAACAAGTAAATCACCATAAATGTGACTAGATCTCTTCAATGTGGATGAGCAATGTCGTCTTCAATACCAAATTATCTCCAGATTGACCAGAATTCCTCAATGAGAAAGAATAGATTCATCTTCAACAAATAATTTACCTGAAAGCTGCTAGAACTCTTCAATGTGGATGAGCAATGTCATCTTTAATGCCAAATTATCTCCAAATTGACCTGAATTCCTCAAAGAAAAGGAACAACATCATCTTCATCAAATAATTTACATGAAAGCGGCCAAAACTCTTCGATGTGGATGAGTAGTGTTCTCTTCAACACCAAATTATCTCCAAATTGACTCGACTTCCTCAACAAAAATGAATAATGTCATCTTCAACAAACAATTTACCTAAAAGCGGTCAGAACTCTTCAACGTGGACGATTAGTGTTATCTTCAACATCAAATTATCTCTAGATTGACCCGACTTCCTTAATGAGAAGGAACATCATCATCTTCAGTAAACAATTTACCCAAAAACGGCCAGAACTCTTCAACATGGATGAGTATTCGTCTTTACCACAAAATTATCTCCATATTGACCTTACTTCCTCAAAGACAAGGAACAACGTCATCTTCAATAGATAATTTTCCTGAAAGCAACCAGAACTCTTCAACATGGATGACCAGTGTCATCTTCAACATCAAATTATCTCCAGATTAACTTGACTTCTTCAATGAGAAGGAACAACATTATTTTCAGCAAACAATTTACCTGAAAGCGGCTAGAACTCTTCAACGTGGATTACCAGTGTTTTCTTCAACACCAAATTACCTCCAGATTGACTCGACTTCCTCAATAAGAAGAAATAACATCATCTTCATCAAATAATTTACCTGAAAGTGGACAGAACTCTTCAACATGGATGAGCATTGTCGTCTTCAATACCAAATTATCTCCAGATTGACCCGACTTCCTCAACAAGAAGGAACAATGTCATTTTCAGCAAACGATTTACTTGAAAGTAGCTAGAACTCTTCAACGTGGTTGAGAAGTGTAATCTTCAACATTAAATTATGTCCAGATTGACTTGACATCCTCAATAAGAAGGAATATCATAATCTCTAGAAAATAATTTAGTTGAAAACGACCAGATCTCTTCAACGTGGATGAGCATTATCGTTTTCAAAACTAAATTATCTCCAAATTGAGCTAACTTACTCAACGAGAAGGAAAAACGTCATCTTTAGTAAACTATTTATCGAAAAGCGACCAGAACTCTTCAACGTGGATTAGCAGTGTAATCTTCAACACCAAATTATCTCTAGATTGACCTGACTTCCTCAACGAGAAGGAATTGCATCATCTTCAGCAAACAATTTACCTAAAAGATGCCAAAACACTTCAACATGGATGAGAAATGTTGTCTTCAACACCAAATTATCTCCAGATTGACTTGACTTCCTCAATAAGAAGGAGCATCATCATCTTTAGCAAATAATTTACCTGAAAGCGACTATAAGTCTTTAATGTAGATGAGCAGGGTCGTCTTTAACACCAAATTATCTCCATATGACCTGACTTCCTCAACAACAAGGAGAAGCATCATCTTCAGTAACCAATTTACCTGAAAGCTACCAGAACTCTTCAATGTGGATGAGCAATGTCGTCTTCAACACTAAATTATCTCCAAATTGACCCGACTTTCTCAACAAGAAGAAACATCATCATCTCTAACAAATAATTAACTGAAAGTGACCATATCTTTTCAACGTGGATGAGCAATGTCATCTTTAACACCAAATTGTATCTAAATTGACTCGACTTCCTCAATGAGAATGAACAACATCATCCTCATGAAATAATTTACTTGAAAATGACCAGACTATTCAACGTGGATGAGCAATGTCATCTTCAACACCAAATTATTTCTAGATTGACCCGACTCTCTCAACGAGAAAGAGCAACGTCCTCTTCAACAAGCAAGTTACCTAAAAGCGGCTATATCTCTTCATCATGAATGAGTAGTGTCGTCTCTAAAATTGATTTACCTCCAGACAGCTAGATCTTCTCAACTTGAAGAAGCCATGTTTTTACTAGATTTCAACAAGCAACGACCATATCTATTTAACGTAGATGAGCAGTTTTGTTTTCGACATCAAATTATCTCTAGGCAATCAGATTTCCTCAAATGTGAAGAGACAATGTTGTCTTCAAATCCAAAAAACAACTAGATGTCCTCATTGTGTAGGAAGAATATCATCGACAAACATTGATTGTACCCTTTGATATTGCTTCTATTTAAGCAAAATTTCATCTTGCTCATCATGGTTTCCTTTGAAATAAGAATAAAAATTTTCCATTTTGAAATAATTTTTATCTCGCTCAAGATGATTTCTCTTCAAAAGAAACACAAATTTTGTCTCATTTGAAACAATTCTCAAAAGTAAAAAGTTTATCTCACATGGGAAAACTTTTTCTGAAACAATTTTGTCTCGCTTGAGACAATTACTTCTGAAACCCAAAGCATCAACATCGTTTCTCTTGAAACAAGTTATGCTTTTCTTAAAATTTCTTTCTCCAAAAAATGCAACTTCTGGCATTTTAAAATTCAATTATCTTGAAACAGAATTTAGAAAACATCTCCATCGAGATAAGAAGTTTTCTTTCAGTCTCTCATGAGGTAGCACCGAATTGAAAAGTGGAAGATAAACCCGAACAAAAACTCGTTGTCTTTTTATCTTTGCCCTATTCTTGTTAACATAAGAATGAACAAAGAGGGGCAGTTGTCGACACTCGTTTTCGTCCATGTTTTATTATTATTAATATTATTATAATTATTATTATTATTATTATATTAATGATATTTATTTTTCTTTTTTTGTAGTCCATTACAAACCAATCGGGCCCACACCTGAACCAGGTCCATTAACAAGACCCAAACCCTAAGCCCTACTTAACCTTAAAATCTAGCCCTAGCCCTAGCTCTCGTCGCCGCCAGTCGAGCTGCCGTCACAGTCAGTCATACCCGAAGTCGCACCATCGCTGTTAACCTATTCCACTTTCATCCTCGTAAACTAATCAAATATAAATTCAAAATATATATATAATAAATAAAACAAAACCAATCCCAACAAATTTAGGATTTCCCATATTTTTTGAGAGTCATCATCACCTCTATGTCAAAGCCTCATCAGCAACAACCAATAAGCAACCATTTTTAAAGGAGGAAGCAACCAAAAAAATATGGCCAAAAAATAACATAGGGAAGAGAGAGAATCGAAAAAGAGAGAAGGAGAGGACAAAGAAGAATTGAGAGAAGAGGAAATAAAAAAAGAGAAGGAAATGAGAGCCTCACCTTTGGCCATAGGTGTTTTTCGATGATCGGAGTGTCCTTTCACACATCTTAATGGTGGAGAAGCTTCCCTCGGGTAGAAGACCAACATATCTCAACCTCAGGATGATATGACGGTGGAGGAGCCAGATTGGAGAAGTGAACAACTGAAACATCTTCGGCCTTTTCACGGAGTTGAAGGCCACTTCTTATAGAATCGAGGCCAGGTCTGTGTTCTAGGAATCAAGATGAAATTTTCGGTGTAACCTAGAATTTAACGGCTACCAAAGATGGTGGCCAGCGGTGATCGGCGTAGTGGTCAGCGAGAGCCCTCACATGATTTTGGAAAATAGAGAAAGTGGAGAGAACAAAAAAAAAAAGGGAAAGAAATGAAATGAAGTGAAAAAAAAGAAAATAGGCTTATATAGGCATCACAAAACGATGTCATTTTTCCCTATCGTAGTCTCGTGTTTTGGTAAGAGGGGCTAATTGCACATTTGGTCCTTATATCTTGTAAGGCTTTCAATTAAGCCATTGAATGAAAGTCTTTTTTTATTTAAGCCTTATAATTTCTTTTTATCTCATTTTCATCCCTTTAAGCATGTTATTACATCTATGCATATGTTTTTAATTTTGTCCCTTGGTTTGCTTTATTTTCAATCTAGTCCATTATGATTAATGTTCGAAGATGCATGTTTTATTTATGCTTTCAATCCTTTTATTCTAGCTTATTTATATGTTGGTCACTGTGGTGCATATAATAATAAGGTTAATTTCTATGGAGAGCCCCTGTTATTTCTCATTGTTTTAATTTAATTATTAATTCATGTTTTTTTTTTCTTTTATCTCTTTGTCATCGTATTTCTCGCTTATTCATTATGGTCCCCACACTTTTGATGCATGTATATATTCACCTATTAAATATTTCTTAACCTTTGCATATTTATATATCTTATTATTTTATTTTATTGTATTGTATTTTTTGTGTCAGTATGTGTTAGAAATAGTTCACTCGTAATTATTGTCAAGAACGCTCGTCGTAGAATGGGCGTGAAAAGCATCACTCTATAGGAGAAGTGAGATTCGACGACATCCAAACGAAAAGTGAACTTGTTCAATTTTAAAAAAGATCATAATTTAATTTTTGACTCGAATTTACAAATTCTACCGTCACGACAACGTATAAACGATTAGGTACCAATTTCGGGCGTTGTGGGGGTGCTTACCATTTCCCACGCGTAATCGACTCTTGTACTCTTAAAAATGAATTTTTGGTAACGCATAACATTTTTGTCTTAAAAACGATTTTTCTAAAAATTGTTTTAAAAGACGTTTTTAGGTATTCAACCTACCTAACCCAAAGGTCGATGACGACTCCAAATTTTAAATTAAATTTCAAATTTATCAAAATCCCAATTTTTCAAAATAAAGTTATAATTATTTTTAATTTAATTTTTCAGAAAAATGATTATGACAGTAGGCTCGACCTGACTTCACTAGAAAAAGTTTCAAATAAAGTTCGAGTCATCAACTCGGCAAACTAGAATATCTTTTTAACTTGATACGAACCAATTCGATCTAATACTGCATTATTTGAGTTAATTGTTGCGATTGTTGACACTTAGGAAACTTACATTCACAATAAATCTGTCCATAAATCCATGTCTAACATCAAGTCATCCCAATCCCATTTGCTGCATCCTTCATCACTCCTACCTAATACATTAACTTCATCAAACTCCCCAAACTGATGACCCTCCGTGGCCAAATCTCCGATAAATACTCCACCCGCAGGCTCCTGCACTCTGATCTCTATTTCTTCTTTCATGAGCTCGCGGCCTTGTTGATCAACTCCGATGAAGTCGAAAGGTGCCGACATGCTGCTTTCTTGGATCGCTGGCAGGCTATTCGGAGCAACATGATAATCTTGGGTTATTACGATGCTCCGAGCTGGCTTTGGTGATATCGATTCTACGTTCATCACGGCACTTTGGTATTCCTCTTCGGTTTCTTGAGCACTAAGCTTCTTGCTCAAGTGGCAATTCCAATAATTCTTCACATCATTTGCTGTTCTTCCCGGGAGTCTTCCAGCAATCAGTGACCACCTGAGATCGGGAACATGAAACCACATAATATAAATTAATAAGGGGACAATACATCGTGTGTATATATATATACACACGTGTGTATGTATGTAAAACTTGCTTGTTTCCTAAGAGCTTGTGAAGCTTAATGATGAGCTGAACTTCATCTTCTGCAAAACTTCCTCTTTTGATGTTTGGGCGTAGGTAGTTTAACCATCTCAGCCGACAGCTTTTACGGCACCTGTTTAGACCTAAACACCACCAAATTAAAAGACATGAACAAAGGTATTTGCATAGATCAACATGCATTTACATCATTGCATGCAAGCATCGATGATCGATCGAACGCACGAGAGTTGTACACATGCATGTGCTTGCTGATCCCTGCAAGACTGTAACTATTGCAGAATGTTGCAGAGGCAATCAAGGATTCGTATGCGAATTTCAAAACTGGCAGTCAGTTGAGAACTTATTTTGTTTTCTATTGAGTTTATCAAATTTGCTTAAGAAAATGAATCAAACCCATTATTTTGCAGATCTTATCATTCAACCGAAACATCAAAAAATTTAAAAAAATTTAAAAACTTAAATTTTAGACTAGTGCTTGTTTACCAGCCAAAAGAGGCACCCGATGCCACTTCCCTTCACCGTACCGCTCTATACATTTCTTGAGCAACTGATCTTCTTCTTCGGTCCAAGCAACGCCTCCCATACTTTTTTCCCCTCGACCTGTTGATCCTACAATCATTGCTTCATTTTATACACTGATAATTGACCGTGGACCTTTTCATGTAGGTGTTGTAATTATCGTATTTAAAATAATATATATATATATATATATATATATCGTAACCGTATTTCGATTGGGCTCCGGAATTGAGTTTCGACTTGAAAAATGTGGATTGGAGTCGCCACCGACCACTTTAAAACGAATTTAGGTGGGTCGGACACCATCTTACCTGATCTGCGTTTTTACCAGAAATGTGTCGGGTTCGGGAGTCGGTTACGGTCAAGGAAGGATTAGCACCCTTGAACCGCCCTTTCGGTACCAATTAATTTGTCGGTTGTCTTAAATTAAGAAAATTGTAATTTAAAATTAAAAGGTAAAAATACAATCATAATTATTTACCTTAGATAGTTTTAAAGGTGTGGCCTTAAGAAAGTCAAAAAACCATGTTAAATAAAAAGGTAAGAAATAAATAAATAAATTAATTAAATTAAAATGAAGAAAAAAACAAATTAAATAAAAGATAAGATAAAAAAAACAAAGATAAAATAGTAACTAAAATAAATATAAAAAAATAAAGAAATAAAGAAAAAGAAAAAAAATATAAATAAAACAAATAAATAAAATAATAATAAAAAAGTAAAAATAATATATATATATATAAAATAAAAAAATAAAAAAATAGTAAATAAATATATATATATAAATTAATAAAACTGATAATAAAAAAATAATATATATATATATATATATAATATAAAAAATATAAAAATATATACTAAAGTAAAAAAAGAAAATGCATAAAATGTAAAAAAATATTACATGAAAAAAAGAAAAGAAAAATAACAAAATAAATAAAATAAGTAACAAGGGAAGTGTGCGAATAAATAAAGTTAAATAAATAAAATAATAATAATTAAAACGTAAATGTAAGAGACCGAATCAAAAGTAAAAAAGATGATACCTTTTATTTCCTTTTCGAATCGTTTACAATAGTTTTGCTTTTGTATTTTTTTCGTGTTTTCTTTTGTATCTTGTATGTAAATAGTATTTTACAAATGGGAAGGATTACATGCATTTATAGTGAAAAAACTAACTATTTTTAGAATCCTATTAACAATAGAATCCTAATGTAACTAGACTCCTTGCTTGGTTGTTGCACGTTTGTTGGTGTGGTTGTTGCTTTCAAAGATATGGTGGTGGAAGAGTTCTCTTAGGAGATGAACTCTTTCTAGTTCTATCTTTTAAGAAAATGGGTGTCTACAGCTGCCCCTCTTTGTCCTTTTTCGTGGAACGAAAAATAGGAAAAAGATAAAAGACACAAATTTTCATTCAGTGGAGTTGAAGAATAACTCCTTGTCGAATTGAATTGCGGATGGTTCATCCGTCGCGAAGTAGAGTCCATCTTGAAATGATTTGAATCAGAATGTGGCTTCTCGTTGTAGTCCACTTTGGTCTTCTTCTCGGTTTAAAGACATTGGCTAAAAATTTGACTGGAAAGTAATCTCTTGACTCCATAATGTGGTTGATATGCCCTCGAGCTGAATGAAACCGAACTCGAAAAGTCTTCGCTAACATATAGCTTTTCTCGACTTAAGCTATGCTGACGAAAAAAAGGCTTCTTGCTACTAAGGCACGACTAACCCAGACCTTCTTCTCAGCTTGAAAAACCTCAATTGCAGCCGAAAAATAGTGTGATTGAGGTGTCATCGAGCTGAATGGAATCGAACTCGACAATTTTCGTTGACATATAGCCCTTCTTGCCTTGAGCTATGCTGTAAATTTGATTTACCTCTGAGTTGAATGTAATCGAACTCGAAGGTCTTTGGTGATAGATAACCCTTCTTTGAGTTGGATATCCTTCGTCATGAAGTTGAAATCCAATCTAGAGATGGATGCTGCTTGTGTGCACGATTCCCCTTCGTCGTGAAGTTGAAACTGCGGGTGGCCCCTTCGTCGTGAAGTTGAGCCTGGTAATTGGATATCCTTTATCGTGAAGTTGAAATCCAAGTGGGTATTATTGTTATGAGTCCAATATCCTCCTTCATGAAGTTGAAATTGGCTCTGGAACTGGGAAATTGTTTGTTGACAGCCAGCCGCCCCTCGCTGTGAAGTTGAGCTTGTGTTGGTTCGAGTTCAATATCCTTCGCTGTGAAGTTGAAATTGACTCTGAATAAAACTGAATAGTTGTTTGTTGACAATCAGTCGCCCCTTCGTTGTGAAGTTGAGCTTGTGTTGTCTTGAGTCCAATATCCCTCGCTGTGAAGTCAAAATTGGCTCTAAAACTGGGAAGCCCCTTCGTCGTGAAGTTGAGCCTTAAATGGCACAATATCCTCCGTCGTGGAGTTGAAATCGTGGATATACGGGTACGATATCCTCCGTCGTGGAGTTGAAATCACGGATGGCTCCTTCGTCATAAAGTTGAGCCTTGACTTGAATATCCTTCGTCGTGAAGTTGAAATCCAAGTATTTTATGTTGCGTGTGGACATGATTCCCTTCGCCGTGAAGTTGAAACCGTAGATGACCCCTTTATTGTGAAGTTTGGCTTCGAGTTAGATATCATCCGTCGTGAAGTTGAAATCTACTCTCGAGCAAATTGTGTCGCTTTGAGTTCAATATCCTTCGCCGCGAAGTTGAAATTGACTCTAGCTAAAACCTGAAAAAGTTATGCATATATGTGATGCTATGGATGCAATGCTCTTAGTTGTGCCTAAAATGCATATGCAACATATGTTATATTGGGGCTCTAGAGAGAAATCTCGATCTCCGGTTGCTTGTCTAGAATCTTGATTCTTGAATCTTCAAGTTCTGATCCCTGATATTGAATTTTTCAAAAGTTCAAATATGATGTGCACATTCTATTTTTGATTTGCGAAATGCTTCTCAATCATCTCAAGTATATGTCTGAGCTGAGTGTAACGGTTCAGATGATGCTTCAAGAGAAGTTGTCTCGAAAGAGATAGAATTCGTTTCAAGGGAAACGATCTTAAAGATATTTGTTGTTTTATGAAAACAGTCTCAAGGGAAACAAAATTTTGTTTTAAGGGAAATAAATTTGAAGATTTTGTGTTTCAAGAGAAACTGTCTCAAGGGAGACAAAATTTGTTTTAGGGGAAATAAATTCAAAGATTTTGTTTCAAGGGAAACTGTCTCAAGAGAAACAAAATTTGTTTCAAGAGAAACTGTCTCAAGAGAGACAAAACTTAGTTCCAAAAGAAACTGTCTCAAGGGAGATGAAATTTGTTTCAAATAAAACATATTCAAATAATTTGTTTCAAGGGAAACTGTCTCAAAAGAGACAAAATTTGTTTCAAGGGAAACTGTCTCAAGAGAGACGACATTTATTTCAAGGGAAATGTTTTCAATGTTTATGTTTCAAGAGAAACTGTTTCCAGGGAGATAATATTTTGTTTCAAGGGAAACTATCTCAAGATAGACAAAATTCGTTTCAAGGGAAATGTTTTCAATGTTTATGTTTCAAGTCTCAAGGGAGACAATATTTTGTTTCAAGTGAAACTATTTCAAGCGAGATAAAATCTTCTTCTTAAAAACAGTCTTGAGTGAAATGAAATGCCTTCTTTCGAGTGAAACAGTCTCAAATGAGACAAAGTCTGTTTTAAGAAAAACAATCTCAAGTGAGATAATCATCTGCATTAAATGAGAATGTCTCAAGCGAGACAAAATTTATATTGGAAATGTTGAATATGAAGATGAATGTCGATCTTTCAATCTATCAAGTTGGTTGAAGTGTGACTTCTTGCTGCTAAGTTAAGCAACCACCATCGATTTTTACAAACTCTTTTGAATCAAGTATTTTTCGCCTTGAAGTTGAAACTTGACTCTAAAGCTGCAAAACTTATGTATGTGAAAAAAATGATAAATATGATGCTCTAAAATGTATGCATAATGAATGAGTTCTTGTTTTATTCCTTGGACAGAATCTCATTTTTTGCATGTTGGTTCCTACATGTGGAGGAAAAGCCTTCGGAAGATCTGATCGTTCGCATTAGGATTTTGAATCCCCGAAGATTTCCTAATATTCAATGTTGAATCTCCAAAAATGCCCCAACATTAAAAATGCCCCTATTGTTCCTCATTTCTTGCTTCAACATTAATTCTAAGCATGAGATTACTGTTTGAGAGCCACATGTCATTTACCAAGATCCACTCTAGAGAGATTGTCTTGTTTGAAAAAATGTTTCTCTTTTATTTTCAAAGTTATGAAAATATCAATTAAAAGAGTTTCGAAAAATGTTTAATCAGAAGTTTTGAAAATATTACCCCTTTCACGGTTTTACAATTGAGACGAATCATAAAACTAGAGTTCATTGGATATCAAATAATTAATTACAATGTTAATCCTTCAATAAATTATAGTTGTTTGACACGTGCCAATATCAAAGATATTTTTGGGAAATGGTTAAGTAAGGAAAGGATAAAAAGTCTCAGGTTATTGTGTTTGGTCAAAGGTTTAGCATTTTTTGTTTATTTGATGCTCAAAGGTTTGATGGGGTATCTTGTATGCTCCTCTACTAGAAGTGTTCTCTGACTCCCAACTTTTATGGTTATGCTCGGATTGTGCGATGCATTATCAAGGAATTTGTGCGATCGCCTCAGCTGCCCAATTTTCGTATTCGAGCTGCCTTTTCAGGTTTTCAACTCGAATCATCCTTTGGTTTCAAGATGTCATTCGTAATTTACGTCTTGAACCCCCCTTTGTTATTTTTCTCTATCATGCATTAATTACACTATTTTTTGCAAATAAAGATTAATCCTGATGGGCGGGATGAAATCTGAAGATAGTCTCTTCTGTTCAGAACTTCATGTATGATTAGAAGGGATTTTTAAGGCATGTAACATAAGTCATGGTTTATGGTTATGAAAGAAAGGGATAAAGGGCCCAAATAAGTGTTTAAGGGTGATTGAACCAAGGATCAATTCATTATGATGTCTTCAATCATATATTGCTCAATTTGAATCTGCTCGTATATGTATCTCTCTTGATGCTCTATGA